GGCAAGCAGGGTAACATAACAGTTTACAAAGAGTGCAAGTTCAGTGCCAGTCCACTCACTCTCTGCATTTAGAAATCGGATTGCCAGAAGTTCAGGCTTGGGGCTTTCATCTGCAAAGTCAGCATGTGTGTTCCAGACCCACGCCCTGTCGCTCCCAGCGTTAGGCTTCAGCTCCATTAAGGGTGTGACTGAAAGGAAAGCAGCCAAAGATGTACAGAGCACAATAGCAAATGTTTTCTACACCAGCCTCCATAAATCTCAGTGAAAACGGGCTGTGATGGTTACATAAAGCACTTGACACAGAATCACTTTGGGATGAATACAAGACAGTGGTGTTCATATATATTTTTCCTTACATTGTCAAATAAAATTATGCAAAGCCATTACTGTGTGAGAGGATGCTGGATTCACTACTGTTAGGAAAAAGAGCTGGATTCAATTTTTGCTTAAAACAGATGATTGTCATACTAAGAGATGCAGTCACTGAGCTCTGAAGTGCAGACAAATGATTTAGAAGGAAAAGGCATCCAGACGGATAAACAACACTCATTCTTCTGCACACCAAAACTATCACCAAAGTTAATTTTAAAAAGCACTTTTCCTTCAATTAGTCATCACATTAATTACCTCTCCCATCAATTTAAAGCTGTACTACAAGATATTACAGAATTCTGTGGTGCTGCTAAGTGTACACATTGTCTTTCCAATCTATTTGCTCCCTTGTAGCAAATGGGGCCCTGTCCCTCCAAGACACCACAATTACCTCACCTGACTGACAGCAGAAGTTTAAATGTTACTTCCCACAGTATCTTAAGACTTTTTACATTACAGACATGCAAAGTCTAAGCAGGGCTTTTTATCTCCTTAGGCCCTGTCTAGTTCAGGAGAAATCTGAAGAGTTTACTCCCTTCCCTGCTTTGTTAACATCTAGAGATCAAAATACATTTTGCTCCATTTAATGCTTTGCAAAAATGAAGAGAGTTCTTTTGCCTGACTGTGAGTCAGCATAAATTCAATAAACAAATCTATATGGAGAACAGCTTTTCCAGGGGAAAAAAAAAACTTAAATAACTTTTGACATGAATAGTATAAATTCATCAATTCTATTTTCCTATGTGCAATATTTATTTCCCTAAACAAAAGGTTTATTCCGGCTGGTTGATGGCATTACTGAGGTTTGCATTAAGCTACTTCTTATTTCAAATTCAAATCTAAATGAAGTTTAACTCCATGGAACACTGTAGATTCCTCATACAAAAATCTGAGTATCAGCAAGCTGGTCTACTTGTTGCAAGTTGTACTGACTTTCAAGCCTGTCTTGCTCTTTCATGTTTTTTTTTTTAATTCAAAGAGGATTCTTTTTTTAATGAGTCAGCCCAATACAACACATTCATTTCAGTTTATTTCACAAGCAGAGAAAGGCAGACTCAGATTTGCTTAGCACCTCAGTCTGTTTTCTGATGGTTAAGGATTGGTTTTGGAAATTCAGACATTTAGCTTAAAGTAGTAAATTATTACATCTTGTTTTTTCTCACTCTTTTACAAAAGCAAGCGAGCATACATTAAATTCTTTTTTCAAGCAGTATTAAGGCCTACATGTTCTACACTTTATTAATCATTAAAATAAAGCACACACACACAGACACTGGAAGCAATCACATAATGTCTATCACAGCTAAATTTTAAAGTGACTTTTGTTAGTCTTATAGCACTATCAGACTCTTAAAGAAAAAACCTCCAGCTTCCTTCCATCAATAAAAATAACTGCTCATGGGTTTTGATGCCTGAAGCCTTGTATGAAGAGTAAGAAAAACCAAACTTTAATTCTACAAGCTTATTTTTAAAATCAAGAATAAGTATAGAAATGGAGAACATACTGTAATGGTTTGCACAGATTTTTAGGGTTTTATCCCTCCTCATGAGGAGGCGAATTGTTCCCTTCTCCTTGTGCTTCAGGAGTTTCACATCACCAGTTCCTCGTTCTTTCCATTCTGGAAGGTCATTCTCAGATGCAAACCGGAAGAGCTTCGCTCGCCTTGGAGAACAGAACATTTCATTAGCCTGCCTGCATTACAACACCACCTGACCAAACAGCACAATTCTTTTTAAAAACCACACACAAGAAGGAAACAATTCCTTTAATAAGATCCCCTCTTCTGTTTCAATACACACATTCAGAAACTGATATGATAAATTAAAATCTAATCATAAAATATTAGGAATTATGTAATAACTGTATTAAAATTCAACAGGTTCTGGACACTCCTAGGGGATGATAAACATATTTGATGTAGGCAAACCTTTAAATTCAGGTAGCTAATTAACAGGTTTTGCTACAGCCAGAGTTCACCACGCTACCTGTCAGAAACCTGTCACCACTATAGTTATTATCAGAATCTGGACAAGGAGAACTGAAATCTCTCTTCCAGATGAGCAATACCATTCTGTGATTAAGCAAAACCATAATTTTTTAAACCTATTTCAAGCCAGCACACCAAGGATCAAATTCAAAATGCTTCTTAAGCCTTTAGACTACATTTTTCTTCAGGCAGACCAAGCCATCCTGATCTGACAATAAGCATAACCTAAGGATAAACTGTATTGAAGACAACAGACAGGAACTGCCACAAATGCCCCAACACTGTGCTGCAGCTGTTGCTTTTATTATTTCAGTACCTTGTACATCACCCTTTACCCGGGAATGCACAGCAGCAACACCACATACATCTCATTTCCTTCCTCCCAAGACACTTGTTTCACCTTCTGTGATCACAATTTCAATAATTATTACTTAAGTTGTTGTCTTCTTTTATGTACACAATGCTAAAGCCAGATTCACACTATCAGCTCTCTTCTGTGGTTCCAGATTTCATTTTCTTGGGGCACCATCAATCACCCCCACTCAATCTCTGCCATCACAGTGCAGACCAACCAAGTGAGCCTTCACACAGAGATTGCTGCAAGTTATGCAGCTTTTTATAAACACTGTCAAGTTTAAGCCTAATGAACATTCAGATAATAGCGAAAAGTATTCTACTCACATCTTAAAGAGCTCTTCCTCATCTTCTTCCAGAGTTTTTATTTCTTGCTCTGGAAGGGAAACTATGGGTTCAAACTGAGGATCATGGTTAGAGTCATCTGCATTCTCAGTAGAAGTATCATGCTCCTCGTGTGCTTCCTGAGGAGAAAAAGAGAAAACACAAATTTGCTATACACTCCAACTCTGAAATACTCACATCTGCTTTTAAAACACTGATGACTTTGCAGCAATTAGATCTTAATAACTGTAATACCCCATAAAAGAAATATTATTATACCTGAAAATAAATCACTTCCAACACTGATGACTTTGCAGCAATTAGATCTTAATAACTGTAATACCCCATATAAAAGCAAAGAAATATGATTATACCTGAAAACAAATGACTTCTAAGTCAACATACAGGCACACTAAGAAAAACAGGTGCTCAAACAGTGCTAGGTGTTTTAATCCTACCACTCATTAATTGTCTAGAGGCTTGGCCTTGGATTAATAGCTCTGGGTTATGGAAATATAATTTCATCAACAGTTTTTCCTATGTAATATGTTTTGTTCTAATAAACCTCTACTATTTCTTAGTGCCTAATGACCCATCATTAATGGGAAAATTGGAAAAAAAGCCCACACGACATCCACCCAACCCAGCTTAAGGGACATATTGCATCCCGAGTTCATCACTCTGGATTATGTATTAGAATCACCCACAGTCAACACAGTTAAAGACACTTTGAGGCACAGCTCTAATACTCATAAAATAATTTAGGTTTCTTGCTTTAAGACTCCTCAAGGAACTTTAGGTTACAGGTAAATGGCCAAAATAATACTTCCTATTTAAGTAGTTTAGGAATCTGTCAGAGACTTCATTAAGCTTAAGAATGGTTTTTACTACCATCACCAGTAGGTAAATGATAAACATCTCTAGTACTTCATACATATGGACTGCTAAGGAGCACTCAGCACACAAGCCTAGGAAGGAGATTCATATGCAAGTTTAACAAAGCCACAGAACAGCTATCTCAGGTCTAGGCAACTGATTTAGGTTTGGGGTTTTTTTTTGTTGCTGCTGGAAAAGCAGAAGGAAAAAGTCTACACAAAACTATACAAGACATTTAAATAATATTTTTACTTTACAAATGGAAGAGACCATTCTTACAGGCTCTATTCACAATGTCCTTTACAGAGTAGGATATACCACGTGTGCATAAAGCAACAGAAATAAAGCAATCTATTTTTACTAAACAAGAGGGGAAAAAAAGGGGGGGGAAGGGAAAATTAGGTAAAAAATGGTGCAAAAGAAAATCTAGTTGTATCAACAACGTCACACCAGCCACCGCCAATTTTATATTCCCAGTGTTCCAGCAAAAAAAGCGAGAAATTAATTACGTCACATCTGTTTCAAAAAAAGGGAAATGTTAGCCAAACTTTTATACATTGTATCCATGCGTGCAAGTAGCACATCCCGCACGGCGATCCATCACGCGTTCTGCGCCCGAGCAAATAATTACAGACCATGAGAAAGGCTCCCTTCCCAGCGGCCACACGGAGACCGCGGCTCCCGTTATCACCACACGGAGCACGTGAGCAACCGGCGCGACACGAGGGGTCCGGCAGGGCCCGGGGAGGAGGAGAAGAAAGGAGGGAAACGGGGAGAAGGACTACCCGAAAGATCCCGGCTCGCCCTCACCGGGGAACGGCCAAGGCGGGTGGAGGGGCCGGCCCGAGCGGCCACACGCGCCCGGCGCGGCCGCAGAGCCCAGGCCCAGCGGGCGCGGCCCCTCCGGCCCTGTCCGCCATGGGCCCGCTCGCCGCGCTCCGCTCGCCGCTTCCTGCCGCGCGCCCCGCCCGCCTTTACCTCATTCCCGCAGCCCGCGCCGCGCCGCCGCAAGGCTCGATGGGAAACGCCCGCTCCCCCTCAGCCCCGCGCCCCGCCCCCGGCGCGGGCAGAGCGCCGCCCGCCCCGGCCCCGCCACACCGATCCCCCCATGGGTCTTCGGAACCGGCCCCGGTACCGGCCCTGTCACCGAGCCCCGGTGCCGACCGCCGGCGCGGCCCCTCCGCCCCCCGAGAAGCGTTTTTGTTGTCCCGTTTCCCAGGCGCCTTTCCCATCGCCCCCCGCGCCATGGCGGCGGCCGCCCGCGTCCCGGCCCAAGATGGCGGCCGCGTGAGGGAGGGGGTGGTGTGTGAGCTGCTGTTTCTAAGGTGTTTAAGGGCCGCGGGTGCTTCCAAGAGCGAGGAGCGGCAGCGCTGAGGGGCAGCGCTTAAAAAACAACCAGATCGTTCCTCTGCCGTCATTCTCATCGCAGCGGCCCGTCCGTGAGGCTGCGGCCCCGCCCCGGGAGGTGCGCGGGGTGGCTGAGGGGGTGGCGGGACCATGGCGGAGGAAGGCGAGCGCTGCGACCCCGACCGCGACACGGCTCCTGTGGCGGAGGCTGGAGATGGGGCTGAGCCGGACAGCCAGGCCGGGGAAGACCCCGCGGAGAGCCCCGACGTGTACAGATACATTAAGGGAGACTTGTTCACCTCCGAGATTTACAAAGTAGAGATACAGAACCTGCCCAAGTACATTGGGTTTAACGATGTGAAAAAGTTCCTTGCCAAGTACGGGCTGAACCCTCACAAGATAAAGCTCTTCGGGAAGCAGACGTTCGCCTTCGTGACGTTCAAGAGCGAGGAGGAGCGGGACAAGGCCCTGCGGGTGCTGCACGGCGCGCTCTGGAAGAGCCGCCACCTCAGCGTGCGCCTGGCCAAGCCCAAGGCTGACCCCATCGCCAAGAAGAGGAAGCGAGAGGAGGATTCGGAGCAGGGGGAGGCGAAGCGTCCGGCTCCCTGCGGAGAGGAGCCTCTGAGCAAGCGGATCGCGGACGTGGTGACCCCGCTGTGGAACGTGCCCTACGAGGCGCAGCTGGCCCAGAAGAAGCAGGAGTGCGAGCAAGTGCTGCAGAAGCTGACAAAGTAATTCCTGTTTGTAACGTAATGTGTGCAAGACTTGGCCTTGTGATGTAGCTAAATTCACACCAATTGATACCTCTAAACTGAAGTGAGTTAGAGGTAGGTCAAAACTCGGATCCCCTGTCAAAATAATTAATTGCAAGATAATCTGCGATGCTACAGCTTAAAAGCTGTTCCATCTGACAAAACTTGCTGTTGATGTTCTTGGTCACCTTCAAAAGATTGCTTAGTGAAGGGGAATTGGTTTTAAAGTCTGTTGTTCCATAAGCAGAAGGATGTATGTGCCCGTAAAAAAATAGCCAATGTCACATGGTGTGAGAGAATCAGTCTGTAGAGATGGCAAATTACTACTAGGATTTCCTCTTTTAAAATCCCCTCAAAATTTTATGCCCGGTCTTTGAAGATCACAGTATCCCTTCTGTCTCTTGCCGTCGACAAAACTGGCATTAATTATGATGCATGGGTACATTGATAAACCCAGTACATAACCATAATGTAACCAGTACATTAACCCTTACTTTTTCAGGTTACAGCTCTTATGAAGTTGAAGGGGGTTGGCCTCCAAATCTGGAAGAAACACCCTTCCATGTGATAATCTGGTTCTTTTTTGTGCCCTACACAAAAAAGAAGTCTTGTGCAACTCTTGACCTCAATTTTTCTAAATGTGTGCTTTACATTTTTTGTTTCTGATTTGGGCAGGGAAATAGGAAATAACAACAGAGCTTTATTACCCTGGTTGTTCCTGCAGAAGCAGAAGTTTAATAAATTATGTTGCCCAGTGGAGGGAGTGAAAGCATCACCCTTGCAGGTAATGTAATCTCAGGTAAAGTGTGGAACAGGGTTAATGAGCTGAGGGTTATGTTCATTATTTGGTCTTGAGAAGACAGTGGACAAACTGAGTATTCAACTTTGTCTTGTAATAAATGATGAATTTTAGATGTTGTGTTTCATGTAAATACTGTGTGGAAATATTAACAGGAAGCAGAAAAATTGATAACTGGATATTATAACTTTAAAATGAATATGCTGTCTTTGCAAGACTGTGTTGTAAGCTAATATGTTCCTCAACAGAGGCAATATTTTGCTTTTTGGATAATAAGATTTACTAATACCTTTTCTTTATTACTGTTAGTTCACACACATCAAAATCCATCAGTATTGTCCATATGAGATAAATGTCCCGTGTCCATTTTCAAATGTGTCCATTTTTAACCACGTGGGGTTTTTTCCAGGACAAACTTGGCATGTACAAATAAATGCTGTGTAAATATCTTACATAACTTTATTTTAAATCTAGACTGAATATCGCAACAAATGTGAGTTCTTGATTGGGATTGGTGTAAATCAAGAAGACAAAACTGTGGGGTGTCGTCTTGGCAAATATAAGGGTGGTACATGTGCTGTAGTGGAGCCATTTGATACTGTTCACATTCCTGCTATTGCCAAAAAAGTAGTAAAAGCTTTCCAAGACTACATAAGGTGAGCATAAGAAAAATGAGTTATTGTAAAGGTTTTGATATCTTAATCAAAAATATGTGTAAATTTAATGAGTGTTTGTTCAGAGCTTTGAGATCTAAGATACAGCAGTGTCCCATTTTAGCGATTGTTTGTTTCTGCCTTGTGCCTGCATCCTGGGGAGTTTTGCCCTTGCTCCTGCTCAGCTGCTCAGAGATAGCAGCTGAACACAGCCTCATTGCAAGCAAAGGGATGTGTAAGTCTGCAGTAAAAAGTGTGTGTTACTCAGGAGCTTTCCACTAACTGTAAAGAGGCACTCAGAAAAACACTTCTGCAAGGAGGGATTCATTAACCAAGGTCCATTGTTTTCTTGGATGAGAAGAATCATCCTGCAGAAAGGAATAAACCAAAAGTTGCACATTTAAGCAAGAGTACTTTTTTAGAAAAAAGGATGCATTCTTTAAAAAGCAGTTAAATGCACAAAAATGGAAACCTCAGGAGAACCATGAAGTTGGAAGATTTGAACTTGGTGTGAAGCAGAGAAGCTAATGAAAGCATTACAAAAAGTTATGTCATTCTCTGAATGCAGTGAGAAGCTGCCTCTTGCCTCTGTAATTTTGCATGGGTTAAAATGGGCAAGAGGATTGTGTGAAGGAGGGACAGGGTATTTTGCTTCAGGAGATGCTGTCCATCAGTCTTTCTGAGCTGGAGGCCATTCTTTGTTTGACAAGTGAATGTACCCTCTTTTTGTACTCAGCATTTCTGCCATCACTTCTTTTGATGCAATGAACTGTTTAGTGTTACACACAAAGAGAATTCTCTGTAAGTAACCAGGCTGTGCCGTTGCAGGTCCACTCCTTACTCGGTGTACAGCCCCGAAACCTACGAGGGGCACTGGAAGCAGCTCACGGTGCGCACCAGCCGCCGCGGCCACATCATGGCAATCGCGTACTTCAACCCTCAGGTATTTCACTGACAGCTAACGGGCAGCCCAGGCTCAGCTTCAGAACTGCTTAAAGTGGATTTTGTGAATTGGGCGTGCAAAACAGAAATGGAAGAATTACTTGGTGTGGTTTAACTTGCTTCACTGCTCTAATTCTATTTAGACTAACCTGATACATGGAAATGAACAAGTAATATTCTTATGTAAAGCATGCACTAAATCATATCTTGAAGTCACTGAAATGATTATTCTCCCTTCTTTCACATTAAAACTTCAGAAATTGAGTAAAGAAGAGCTAGCTGACCTGAAAATCTCTTTGGCAAAATACTTCACAGAAGGGATGGGAAAGAGCAGTGGTGTTACTTCGCTGTATTTTGTGGAGGAAGGACAGAGGTGAGAGGGTTGACTTTGCTTTGGGGGATTTTGGTGGTGGCTGGATTTTTGGTGTTTTTTTATTACATAGCATTGTTTGTCTGCTTCATAGAAGTAGTAGCAGTTGTTACTAATTTGTTTCAGTTCTTCACCCTTGCCACAAGAAACTCCTGAAATTTCCCATTCTCTGGATAAAGGCAGCAAGAGTTTCAGTGGGTGAACCCGCTGGCCATTGCTGGCTGTGAAGCTATAGAAGTGTTTACTGCAGTAGATGAATGTTTGTGTTTATCAAATAACTTCTGCCCCTCTTCCTTCAATCTCCCCATCCTCCATGGAGCACAAGGCTCACACCATCTTCATCTAGAGATGGTGGAGGTCCTTGCACACTGAGACATTAATGGCCAAGGAGAGTCTTCAAGAGCAGATGATAAATGGTACTGCTTAGGATGTAGCTCTGCAGTTTTTAGGATGATTACAGCTTTGGTAAAGATTGTAGCAAACATGTTTGTCTTCTTCTTTTGGTTTTGATTCCCCCTCTGTTTTATCTCCCCATTCCTCCCCAACTCCCAGGAAATCTCCCAATCTAGAAGACTTGCCTTTGGAGCACGTGGCTGGTGATAAGTACATATATGAAGAACTCCTTGGCCTAAAATTTAGAATTTCTCCTCATGCATTTTTTCAAGTAAGGATGATGGGAAGCTGCTGGTTTAACTGGATCTGCACAAATGCTCTGGAGCTTGACTAATGCTGTGGAACAAGACATTACATACCTAGAAATTTAACCTTTTATATATTTGGTGTGATTAAGTAGCAGTAAGTGTTATGTTTGGCTGTAAAAGCAATGAATGACTCTAAGCTTGATGGGAGCACAGTGAAGACAAATTTTTCTACTTAATAGTTCATTATAATTTCCCTCCTGTTTCATGGCAGCCTTTTGTAACACTGAACATAAAATAATAAGTTCAAGAGTCTTGTATTACTAATCTTTGTTTGCTTTTCCAAAACTTTTTTCTGCCCTTTCAACACTTTAAAATGTGTTTTTAGTATATAATGATCTGTTCATTAGAAACAAGAACACATGCTTTACTAAGACTCATTAAAACATATTTACTGTTTATGAAGAAGTAGATCTATTGGAAACTTGATTTCCCAGGTGAACACACAAGCTGCAGAAGTGCTGTACACGGCCATTGGGGAGTGGGCACAACTGAGCCAAGAGAGCACCGTGCTGGACATCTGCTGTGGGACAGGAACCATTGGGATTTCTTTAGCAAAGGTTGGCAATTTCTCTTTCTGGATAGAAGCTACTTTTTACCTGTTTTTAACTGTGGCTAGAAGGGAAGAAAATATCTAATGTATGTGAAATGCAACAGATTATATCTTCATTTTTTTAATTAATTTGTAATTGAGCTGCCTGCAGCTGCTTTACCACATCATTATGAAAGCTCAGCCTTACGTTGAGCAGCCTAGGTAGGATCAAAGTCACTGTTAATTGCTGATGTTATGAAAAATGATTAAATTCACACATACAGACCACAGAGGGAACCTTTTCCTTTGATTCTACAGAGAGTGAAGAAGGTCATTGGAATTGAGCTCTGTCAGGAAGCTGTGCAGGACGCCAAAGCAAATGCCCAAATTAATGGTGAGTTAAGCTGAAATGCTGAAGTCTTTGTTTGTTAAGGAGCTGTTGCAGTGGGTTGTTCTTTACCTTATCTAAGCAGCCTGGAATTACATGTTGTTGATAGTGATCTTGTCCCATTTAAACACTTAATCACTCTTGAAAACAAACACCTTGTTAGCCCATGAGATCAATTTTCCAGTAGAACAGCTTTTTTTTTTTTTAAATTGAAAAGCAAAACATTTATTTCAATGTAAAAGTGAGATGAAACCACAGCTACACTCCTAAAGAAAACATGAACAGAGCTGGTGTTTGTGGGCTTTTGCTGTAGTCCAGGTAGTGGAAGATGCTCAAATTACTGTTGTTTGAATAGACTGAAGTTAACAGTCATTGTTTAAATTACACTGGTTCCAGGGTAGACTAAACAATTTGGAGTTTCTGAGGCATCAAAACTTAATATCCAAGGTAAAGAACTGAAAGCTGCTTTGACTAGACATGTTCACTGATAACATCTTTTATTTTTCTTACAGAACTGAATAATGTTGAATTTTATTGTGGGAAGGCAGAAGATATTGTTCCTTCCCTGATGAATGTTTTAGCTCCTCAGAACCTGATCACCATTGTAGATCCACCACGAGCAGGGCTGCGTAAGTTCACCAGGGGTTTAAGTCTGTTCTCTTAATGGGTGTTGGGTGGGAAGCCAAAGAAAACAGCTCTGGGATAAATGAAGTGGAGGCTTCAGGTATAGCTTGGAGCAACATTGCAGCAGTTTTGTTCATGCTGAGTATAACGTGGCATTTTTCTGTGGGGCTCTTGCTGCACACAGAACCAGTAAACAGCTGTTGTGGTTTTGATCATCTAGATTCCAAAGTAATTCTTGCCCTGAGAAGAGCTGAACATCTGAAGAAGCTCATCTATGTCTCCTGCAATCCCAGAGCTGCAATGAATAACTTTGTGGAGTGAGTGTTTCTTGCATTAAGTTGACTTACTAAATGTGGAAATATGTTTTTTGAGGCGGGGGAACCATTGCTGGATTTTTATTTGCAAGCTGTGTTCCTTGAGGCTTATCTTGCACCAGAAGGAGCTGGGAGCTGCAGCAGCTGGCTGGGAATGGTATTGCCCAATACACAAGTCATAATGGAAATACTGAGGGTAGTGAATAAGCCTATCATGGAATTGAGGCTTGGGGAAGGAAAAACCTCTCTGAGAAGAGCAGCAGGGATGAGCACTGTACTAACATATTCATTCCTTTCTTCCTGCTCTGCTTTCCCTTGCCCATCAAGCCTGTGCCGGGCCCCTTCCAACAGGGTGAAAGGAGCCTCCTTCCGGCCCGTGAGAGCCATGGCTGTGGATCTGTTCCCTCAGACCAGGCACTGTGAGTTACTGATCTTCTTTGAGAGGGTGGAATACGCCAACGGCAGCTCTGCAGCAGCAGCAGCTGCTGCCAGCGAGAGCCCAGCAGCAGCCTGTGGCACCCAGGGCATGGATGGCACCAGCCCAGCAGCCAGCGAGGGGAGCCAGGCAGCTGCTGCCTTGGGGACTGCAGCCCAAGAGAGGGCTCAGCCCAGCTCCTGAGAGACTTTGCAGAAACTACTTTTGCTTTTTAACTGCATCGGTAACACCCCTCCTGTAACATCCAGGTAATAAATCTCTGTACAACAGAGTAATTGCAAGGCTTCCAACTTATTTCATCATCCTAATTTGAATTAAGTTTCATTATCATCGATTCCCAGAAGGGTTTGTGTTGGAAGGGATCTTAATGATCATCTCATAACCACGCCTTAGCCATGAACAGGGACACCTTCCACTCAACTGGGTTGCACACAGCCCCATCCAACCTGGTTTTGAACACTCCAGGGACAGGATGTTACATACAATTAGCCCAAATCCTTTTCTCTTCCTGCCTAGACACAAACATGTATTTATATACAGACACCCCCAATTCCCAGAGCAGGTACAGGGATCTGTACCTACAGGTACCTGTACCAGGATCTTGCTAAGGAACCTGGACGCACCTGTCAGTACTTCATCATGCTCTGGCCCCTGTCAAAACTGTGCCATGTTTTTTCAGTATGCAAGTTAAGATTAACCCTTTAAAAATAATTTACTTGCTAAATCTTTTATTAGGCAGTAATAAACTTAGTCTAATAAAAATGCTATACTTGTCACATTGAAGTCAGTCTTGCTCTCAGACTGTAGCATCACTGACAAGACAGTAAAGGCTGTAAGTTTCCTGCACCATACAGTAAGGCTGAGATGACTTTGCTCAAGGCAGGCCCTCACCACTGGAAGCTGCCAGCACTGAGCTGTACCAACACCAGCAGCTTACACTGCAGTGCCAGTGAAGACAAAGCTGGCTCAGGAGCCCCAGGAGCTGCTCTCCAGTCCGGACTCGCTGCAGCCAGAGGCTCAGCAGCTGCCATGAATGGACTGGGATCCACACTACAGGACAGACAGCAGCACTGCTGGAAGGAGTGACCACCTGCAATCTCAACTTACTTCTAATATACATTTAGCATGGCCTAACAACAAGAAAAGAATTCTACTACAGCCCATGGCTTTGCTGATACCACACCTTTCCAGTGTTTGGTACCTGCACCCAACACGTACCAAAGCCAGCACTGTGGGCTGTAACATTTCCAGCCTTGCCACAGTTTAAGTAAAAATACAAATCCTAATTCAAAAAAAGGTAACTTAATTTCATTCCAAATGTTTAACCATGTAAACATTCAATTCCTCACTAAAAAAGTGATTGAGTAGTTCCATGATCAACTAGGCTGCACTGATCTAATTTCTCTTTCAAAATACCTAGAGGACTTGAAGAATAAGAGCTCCTTTCTTTAGATATGCTTACACTATCATGATACTGATCACACTGGCACATTTTATAATATCAAACTTTATTGCTCGAAACTAATTGTCTGAAAAATACACATGTAGTACTCAAAGACCGAACACAGAGGATTACATGATTGTGCAGAAAAAAAGCAAGCAGAGGCTCAGTGAAAATGAGGCTTTATAGTTGTACCAATTTAGCACTGGCACCAAGCAACTGCACCCAACACAACTCAAAACAGCAACCATTGTTACCTGCTGGGGCAATAAGGATGAACTTGGTTTTGTTTTCCCATGTTCTCAGATACACATTGAAATACTGTCACTGATAATTTTATTTGGTTAATAACAGCATGGCTTCTTGCACTTCACATTTCTTTCTTCCCACAAAGTTAGGAGGCTATCACTTCCTGAATTCCACTCCAGAACCAAAGTACAGTTTAGTGAATTAGTAAGATAATCATGATGCTTTTAAATACTTGGACGTTACAAATATTATTTGTATAAAGCCTAACAGCATCACAGGAGAATGGAAGTTTACATACAACAGTTAAGTTTATGCATAATAATCTTTCCAAAGTTCTGAGTACCCAACTAATTCAGTTTTGTCTAATAAATATGTTCAAAAAAGCTGATGACTGGTGTTTCAGTAGGTAGCATCTGACTAGTCACAGTAAGTTTTCCGTCAGTACCATGAAGATTTGAATGCACACGAATTTAATCCTTAAAGTCAATATACCACACTTTTGTCGAGAAGCACATAATATGCAAAGCAAAATCTGTCTAATCCCCAAAGGATGGAACAGTTCTTAAAAATACACTCCATCCCTAGAAAAATACCCATCTTCCCCTGGATATAGAAGGGATAAATAACAAGTATCAGTGACAAAAGCAGCAGTTTTATGCATTCATACAATCAGATCTAAACCTTTACAGCCGATTACCTAGAAAACACACAAGAGTTACAAGACAAGTTTAGGATACATCTTGAATCACACTGTAAGTGTTCATGCAGAAGCTGAAGTTAATGCAATGGTCTATCCTCTATCACAGCAGCTCGTGCTTATGTGCAAATGCAAGACTGTTACACTCCAAACAATAGTAAACATTGAAACACAAGAATACTTCACAATGACATAAACAGCAGTTACGTTGTTTGTTCCAGCAGTTATTGCGCTATTTTCTGGACATCTCTCCAGTTAAAGGCTGCAGCAACGTCTAATACCATCTTTTTATGTTTGTTTTGTTTAGAATGCATAATATACGTTCTAGGCTTTGGTTCACAACGAAATCTCTGGATGTTTTAATTAAGGGCAATGGTCACCTTGTGATTCTGATAGTGGCAGACTGAGGTAATACAGCAATCCTCTTAAAATTAATGAAAACAAATTGGTAAGTGAGGCATCTATGGATATTCTGCAGGTGACCTGCAAATGCATTGACATTCTGATTTCAGAAAAATAAAAAGATCTACAAGGGTGATTTGTCTTTTACAGTGCCATCCAAGTACAGATTTTTCTGCTGAAAACACAAGCTGAAATAAAACCTATCTAAGAGTAATACATTTAGGCATAGAAGATAAAAGCCCTGTCTTTATGAAAACAGAAAAGTCCCAATAAAAACAATGAAAAGAGACAAACAGCAATCACTGCTTGTCACTACTGCACCAATATTATATACCCTTCAAAAGATGGAGATTTATTATTAAAGCTATACAAAAAAAAAGCAGAGGCAGTGTTTTTTTTTTGTTTTTTTCTTTTTTTTTAAGACAGGCCACTTCTTTAAATAATAGTTTATATATTGTCTTCCAACTACCCGTATCCTGTTGTAACAGGATTACAACTCATCAAACTAAAAAACTAAATGTAATAATAAAAAATGGGTGGATTCATATTTGCAGAGACCTCCAAGTGTATCATTTAAACACAGAAACAGGTAAGACTCCATGACTCCTCCTGTTTAACCTCTAACATTATATGCAACACATTAGAGAACATTAGTTTGAAATATAAATTAAAATCCACATATTTCCAAAGTAATGTGTGATGTTAATAGGAGGTCTTACAATACTGATGCCAACATTTTTTAAATCCAGTAGGCACTAAATTCAATATACTGCAGCACTCTCTATGTAACATGGTAAATTAAAAACAAAACCACACCAAAATCAGATTAAAAACAAACCAAAAAAAAACCCCAAGCCCCCAGATCCCTGTCAATACAAGTACCAGGAGCTGCAGCAGGTACAGAGAACTGACCTTTCATTCCCAACAGGAGCAGGAGGAGTGTACAAATGGAGCAGTGCAGCTCCTGGGTAAGTCACTGCAGCCCTGCCACCAGCCTGGCTTTCGCTCTGTTCTTTGAGAGCAAACCAAAAACGGCTGCAAGAGAGGATTCCTGCAGTCCCCAGTGACCCCGTGTGAAGAACAAACCACGAAGCAGTGCTTCCACACAGCCACACTATTTCTTTTGTGCTTGGCTTGATAAAGCCTCAGATGACACAGTGAGTACTGCCTGTTTGCCAGGATTGTATTTTAGAGTAGTTGCATATTTGTGATTTCCTTATTTATGAGCATAACCGGTTATGGTCTCATTCTACTTGTTACTCTATGTCATATTCCAAATCTACATTCTAATTTTCATTGCAGAAGTTACATACTTTCTTTAAAAACTAAAAATGTAATTAAAAAAGTAAAAACAAAAACTTCTTAAAAAATCTAAATTGCTGCAGTCAGACTTAAGGGTTGTGTTGATTTTTTTTCTAAAGTCTTTGCGTTTATGGTGCAAATTAATTAAGACTTAACTGACCAAGTCAGATGCAATCTGACACCAAACAAGTGAGAAATTGTTTTATTGCTGGGAAAAGGGAGTGGAAAGTCATTGGCAAAATATCTTCAGACTATCAACCATCATCAGCTGCATTTTGGCTCCAAGCTTTGAAAACAGCCTTTCAAATGACAGTTTTTATTTTAATCATAGAAGTGGGGCCACATTTTCCCTGTTCAACTGATCTGTAAACTAACACAGGCTCTTTTCAGTAACTTTGAATCTCCAACCTGTTAATGCTACCAGGTATTCTTGTTCTTTTCAAGTAATAACAAAATCTGCATCCTCTAATCTCAAATAACTAAGCCTGGCTGGAGACAAGAAACAAGACAAAAAGAAACAGCTTTACTGGCCTAATCCTATGGCATTAGAAACATTGCTCATCACTTTCCTGTATTTGTCACCAAAGTGTCTTATCAGTGCATATTATTATGTGCTGAAATGCAACAAAACTTTTCACAAAAATAGTTTTAGGCATGTTCATACAAGAAGATGTACATATACTTCTTTTATATATACATATATATGAATGTGTATATATATAATATCAGCTTCAACCTGTACATAGATATTCTGAATTTCATACTTAAAATACATCCATTTCAAACAACATGGATGGCTTTCCAGGAGAAAGTGCTTGATTGGTTTTATCCTGTGTGAACATGCCTGTCCTCTGTGCATTTGCCCCAGTAGAGATCTTTATGATCAATTCTTTAAACGTACATATCTCAGAGGTATTAAACAAGGAAAAAAAATCCAAAGAAAAAGAAACTAGGAAAAAGTAATATTGCCCTGATGATGCAAAACGAACAATGCATAACTGAAGCAGCTTGGATTTTAAAAGTTATCTTGCATTCTGCAGCAAACAATTTTTAAATAATTGTTGAAAATCTAGTTCTTCCATTTGTGTTATTGCTCCCCACTTGCACATTTTCTCATTAAACATCAACAGTACAGAGAGGTTCACTACCAGGTTGAGCTGATTCCACTATTGTCATCTTG